TACATACATACATACATACATATATATATATATATATACACACACACACACACACACATATATATATATATATATATATATGTATGTGTGTATGTATGTATATAGTTGATGAGATTATTTTTAAGGAATAATTGATTACAAGACTACAAAGATTTTTAATCAATTAAATTTATTAAGTAAAGATAGAATAAAAAGTATATTAAATTCATTTAAATAAATATTTTAATATAAATAATAAGATTTAAATCTTGTCATACTCTTAATATCCTACGATTGCGAGATTAGGACTGTCAAAAAAGATTCGTTGTTCGCAAACAACTTGTGTTCGGCTCGCTAAGCAAACGAGCTGAATAAGAACAAATTTTTTTCGCTCAATATATAAATCAGTCTAACACGAATAATAGTATTTTTTAACAAGCCGAACACAAGTTGGGCTCAGGCTCAGGCTCACTCAAGCTTGGCTTGTTTACATCCCTAAACACACCCCATGACCATAGAACAATATGATTTTATTAATATTTGGAATATTAAACATTTTGTGTTTGACTGTGTTACGGATTTTGCCAATAACCGATATAGTTGCCCTCTCTCCTGGCCAGTGTCTGTTCGTTATTTATAAAAGTATTTGTTGCTCATCTTTTCAGCATCCTTTTGGATCTGAAGAAGGAAGAACGTAGTTAGACTAGAATGTGTATCTGAGCAAGTTTTTTTTCTTAGCGATATTTTCTTAATTGTCAAGAAAATTCATTATTTGCATTACATGATGAAGTTCAAAGAACATAATATGCATGCTTTGTAGCGTCTGCTATTTGGTGTAACTTTGTATAGACTTGGGCCCTTGCACTTATATTTTTCTATTTCTTAAAATAGAAAGGAGAATGAAATGAAAATCCAAGAAGCAACGTGAGGGATACAAAATTTTTCAACATATTGAACACAAGCTTCTCAGATAGTATGAATAATTCATGTCGAACTTGAGCATGTTACTGCTTTTAATTTCGTAATGGAAGCTAAAAGAAAATGTACCATCACACATTTAGGCAGGTTCCTAATCATTTAGAAGAATTTTAAGCGAAGAATAAGATTTAAATGATTTACAAAAACAAAGGTTAGGAGAAGAAAAGATGGCAACGATAGAAGTTCAAACTGTCACTTAAGAAAACAACTATTTTCGTAAGGTTGGCCGAAAAAAATTGAAAAGTGTAATTCCTTCAATAGACTCTTTATTAACTTGGGAAATCACAGTTACAACTGTCCAGATAAATGTATTTCTCAAGCGTGAAGGTAACTCGCTATCATTCTGAGCTTCTTCTTTTTTCCCTTAACAAAGGATATTTTTTATGGTCAATTAGTATCACAGAAGCTCGAGATAAATAAAATAATAAATCCGGTGAGATCATAACTCTGAAAACAAAGATATAATCTTGAAGTTTAGAGCAATGAAACATTACATCCGGTATGATCATAACTCCAAAAACAAAGATAAAATCTTGAAGTTTAGAGTTGCAAAGGAACTTGGCACAAAACGTGAAAGATGGAGTGGGTGGAAGAGGAAGAATTCATAAATCGATATTGAAGATTCAAGCCATAGATGACACAACTAAATATTATTCAGCATCAAACATATCAAAGTAGCTGCAACAAAATAAGGAAATTAGTTGTCGATACCAAAAGAGGAAATTTTAAACATTAAAAACTTGAGCGAAATTAGAGAGAAAATTGGAATTAATAATAAAGATAACATGAGCTTCTGCGTGCTGAAATATATGTGACCGGTAAAGAAACCAGTAGTAAGGAGCCACACAAGTGAAAAGACATTAAATTGGAAGTTTTTCAATTGAACGTAGGTTTTAAAGCACATTTGTATACCTTATACCTTTTCCATTATCTTTCTTGCATAGGGAAAAAATTTTTGTTGCCCCCAATACACTTAGAATGAATCTAAGGATACAAGTCATTACTCAAATAGCCCTCACCGTTCAAATCATATGAAAGCATATTTTCATAACTAAAGGTGATCTTATGTGCTAAAGAGAACTTAAGAAATTTATCTTTGAAATGTGCAACAATCATATCAATTTGAGTCTCACCAACAAGGTTTGTCATAAAACGACTATAAGTGGAGTCATTGAAACAATAACAATAGTTTTGGCCGAGAGGAAATGAACTCGCCCCCTATTTCATTATGATAATTCTTAGGTTCATTAGTGAGTCCAAGCTAATATTAGAGGGTTGAGGGGAGTTAGTAGTTAGAGGATGAAAGCCTGATCAAAGCTATTGGTGCTGGAGATGAAGTACTAGTATTACTTGTATTAATCTTTTGAATTAATGGAATTTTAGTAATTTGATTCAATATTTTTCTTATTTTTATTTGAGTCAACATAATTGCTATCTGAATTTTACCCAGGCTTGATGGAAGATCATTTTGAGTTGGGATTAATAACACGACCCATGCGATGTTTTTGTGCCTGTAATTTAAGATTTCACAAGCACAAACCACAAAAAACCGTCCAATAATATTTATTTTAAATGGAGAATCCAAATTTTATAGTAATTTTAAGTTCAACAAACACCTAACAATGGATGGCTAATAAGTCTTGTAATTGTAACATAAGTCATAAGAGGTCTATTCAAAATTTGGCCAAGAGAATATATAACTGGGTGGTTAATCAGGTGGGCTTTAATACTAGGAAAAAAGATCCAAATTTCAAGAAAACATAGGAACCTATTTTAGAAGAAACGTTAGAAAATCTAAATTTTAATGAGATCAAATCTGTGAGTAATCTTTTGCATGTTCGAGGCGAAGTAGAATATGTTTAAGATTCTTGAAATTGATTGAGAGATAGCAAGAAAAGTTAATTAGTTAAAAAGCTTTTTCATGAGCTCTATGTTTGACACTGCACCCAAAAGAAAAATGTTGACTAGGAAGAGCTTAAGGGTTTTAGCAAAGTTGGATATTTCTTTTCTGGAAAATATTAAATAAAGTCCATCTTTATAAGAACTACTACTCTTATTTCTAGCAAAAGACTTAAAAAAGAAATTAAGATTTGATGAAGCTAGTGACAGTTTCATGCTAAAATTTATGTTGACTCAATTCATTAGATTAATGTCTAGATGGTGTAGGCATAATAGGTGGAAGTATCATTGAAGAATTAGAAGGATGCTGAAGCCTACTTGTGTTGAAATTAAGATAAAGAGCAGGGAGGAAAGTCAAATCCCTCCAGGTTGTTGATAATCACAGAAAGGAAAAGAAGCATTGTCAAATTTAAGAAAGTTGACGTGTCCCATAGCTCCACGGTTTAGGTTTATGACTTCTTTTGTTATTACTATCACTCATCATACCTCTTGTTTCTTATATCTAAAATATTTCTATCTGAGCAAACTGAATGAATCAATTTAAAGCAAATACATTTGACATATTTATTTCATTTACTCTTCTTTCTTTTAGTGAATTTTATTTCACAAGCATAGACAATTCTCAGGTAATTTGATGATATTCATCTTAATCAGAGTTTTTGGTATACTTGATGTTTTAAACTATTCCATTGAATGCTTACTCCCATACCTTTCCCAACTCCCATTTTTTGGTATAAAGTTTTTCGATTAGTGTTGTCTATGCCTGAGGGTAGGATTGACTGAAAAATCCGGATCTTCTTTTTGCTGTGCCTGTAATATATTCTTTAGTGGTCTCTTTTGAGGCTTAGGAGGAATCATTCAGTTGATTTGTAGCATGTTTACTATGAAATCCTGGCTTGGATGATCATGCTAGTAACAGTAACGATCACATTAGAGTTTTCTCGATCCTTTATTGCATTTCATTCTATGCTTTAATGATCACATTCTATTCTCTTCTTTCTTTTAGTGAATTTTATTTCACAAGAATAGACAATTCTCAGGTAATTTGATGATATTCATCTTAATCAGAGTTTTTGGTATACTTGATGTTTTAAACTATTCCATTGAATGCTTACTCCCATACCTTTTCCAACTCACATTTTTTGGTATAAGTTTTTCGATTAGTGTTGTTGATGCCTGAGGGTAGGATTGACTGAAAAATCCTGATCATCTTTTTGCTGTGCCTGTAATATATTCTTTAGTGGTCTCTTTTGAGGCTTAGGAGGAATCATTCAGTTGATTTGTAGCATGTTTACTATGAAATCCTGGCTTGGATGATCATGCTAGTAACAGTAACGATCACATTATAGTTTTCTCGATCCTTTATTGCATTTCATTCTATGCTTTAATGATCACATTTAATTTTTTTCCCTAATTTTCTTACAATTCTGATTATATAGATTGTGGAAGCGAGAGCAATGCTACAACATGGCTTACAGAGCCAAGCAAAACAAGTATCAGAAGACATTTGGCGACATTCATCAGATAATTTTGATATGGAGAAGCTTTCTATCCAAACTACTTTGGAGGCCGACTTTGTTGATAAATTTGTAGTAAACGAAGAACCATATTTGCCAAAGAAGGTTAAGGAAATGGCAATAGCAAACTTTGATGATGACGATGATGATGATGATGAGTGGCCCGAAGATGATACCCTGGATGAAAACAATGCATCTGGGATAGCTGCAGTTCTTGCTTGCAATGAAGAAGAAGTCTCTTTCAGCGATCTGGAGGAGGACGACGACTGCCTTACAAAGCAAGCTTTCAGCAGAAGTGGCTCCAAATCAGAAGGTACATTAAACAAGTGATTTGCTTGAGTGAATGCACGCTGATTTTATTCCCCATAAAATATGATATCCAAAGAGTGCTAGCTACGGTTATTGTTGCACTGTGGATTCAGGTTTTCTCAAATTGCTATGTATTGTAATCACCCATCTTACTTAATTCATTCAATTCAATTTCATTGTACAGATTAGATGAGTTAACGAGCAAAAGATTTCTTTAAAAGACAAAATGTCCAATGTAACGGCAATAATAAAGCACCTAACTGAGAAACTATAAATCCATTACCTAAAAAAAATAAATTAGAAACAATGTTCAAAGATTTATGTCTCCATAAACATTTGACAATCAAAATCTAAAGTTAGAACGCAGATGTTTAATCATAGACCAATTAGCAGAACAGATGTCTATACATATTTTGCATCCTTATGTTACCATCCCGCACCACCGCCATCTTTCATTTCGAAGTTGCAGCCGCTGATTTCGCTGCGCAACGCCTGCATCAACCCGTGAGCCACATCTCCGGTGGATGAGCCGCCCTTCAAATAAAAAAGACCACCCGCAAAAGCTCCACGCTTGGCCCACTTCGCCCCCACCACCAACATTCCATTCTCTCGAAAAACCCTCGTGATGTTCCACAACAAACTATCCCGGTACTCCACCACTCTCACCTTCACCCTCATCCCCCAAGGCCCCGGCCGTCGTTCTGCAGCCGCCACCAGACACACAATCAGCCTCTCCCTCTCCATCTCCGTCACCCTCGACCTACCATCTTGCTTCTTTATATAGTATTCTTGAAGGGCAATGCTTTCTTCCGTGCTGACTGATGCGTGGACTACGTCGTAATTCAAGTCCAGGAGCGTGAAAGCCACATCAAATAGCAGCTTGGGACGGTCTCGGCTCCTCACCGTCACCTTCACCATGTAATTGTCCTTCTTCTTCACGTTATTCACCGACACCTCCATCTCCTCCGCCGTCACAACAACAGCCGATTGCAGATCCCCGCCGGCCATTCCCATTCCTTCCCAGTCATTCTCCTCTCGCATCATCTGATGAAGCCGTCGCTCCGCATGCGCGCCATCAACCAACGATGGCCGGGAAATACGCAACCGCCATTTCTCGGAGCTACCCCTGCAGTAATGGGCCCCAACCACCCGCCTCAGTTGCTTCTCCAACTCTGCCAGCCGGGCAGCGTTGGATGAGATGTGAAGCTCCAGATCGACGATGCACAGAATGCAACCGGTGAGGCCATTGTGCATCCAGGCCACGCAAAAGTCAACCTCCAAATGGTAATCGAGCAGTAGGGTGGCCAGCACCTCGGAGATGCCGGAGTGATCGACGCCCACCGTCATCTCAAGCATAATGTGATCAGAGGCGAGGTGGCCCGCCCCCGCCAGGTTGTCAAGGCATGTCTTCACCTCCTCCGGCGGCCGGCGCGTTGGTCCTCCACGTCCCTCGGCAAAAGATAATGACTCTTCTATATAACGGATTTGGGTCGGCTCTATGAGTTTGTTGCCCAGCGCATCAGTGACTTCAAATGCTGCAATTATATATTAGTTTAGTATGATTAATTAATGGTACCAAAATTATTCTGCGCTGATTCTGGGAATTATATGTATATATATATATATATAATACCATCCATTATCCAATCCCCATCAGAGGACATGTAGGATTTGGAGATGATGAGGTCGAGATCGATGAGGGCCTGAACTATGTCTACTAGTAATCCATGCCTGTTCACACAGCTCACCTGCATCGTTTTGGACTAACAACATGACTTTTTGTTTAAAATGCTACTCATTTTTAGTCAAAAAATTATATGAAAATGCTAAAACTCATTTTATGTCATAATTTTAAGATTTTGAGTGAGCTTAGTCATTCATTAGATATTTTCATGGCAAAAACTTTCATGAAATTTGTTTAGCATTAATATAGAAAGACATATTAATTCAATACCTTGATAACTGTGCGGTCTCCATAAGTATCATTATCAACACATACCCTGCATGCAGCCAGCGGCATTTAAATATCATCCTACAGTAATATTAAAATACTCTAATAATCAACTAATTAATGTTCACGTTAATTAAAAAAAAAAGTCTTTTTGGAAAATATAATTAATTACGTGGGTGGAGGGGTGATGTACTCTTCAAGAGTGTGGAAGTTGCGATCAAAATAAGCCATCTTCCTCCTTAACCTTCTCCCTCCATTGAAGCATCTGAACTCTTACAACAAATCGATCGTAGAGATTTGATAAATAAGTTTAAAAAATTGGGACATTTGGATTATTGTGCTCTGTTATATAGCCTTCGCATTGTAATATATTTGGAAATATCCGAACGGATCTCAAATAATAAATAAAATATTTTTTATTTTGTGATCCCCGGCATTAATGGCGAATATTGATGCTGGCTTTCCTCTCGTGGAGCTTCCAATATTAAAAAAAAAAAAACCATCTTGAAATTTTTCATCATCATGTTACTATCATATCATGTATCTCATATTTATAGTACGAATTATAATATTTATTATTATAATATATTCTGATTACTATGAATAATTTTCTTTGTTATCTTTTTTTTTTAATTATTTTTCTTTTATTCACGATTGTATTAACATATTATTCAATTCAATAATATAACTATTAACGTTTTTGACATATAAGTATATAACATCTTCTACATCACCCGTTAAGCAATCATAACAAATGGTCAAAAAAAAAAGAAAAAATTTGTTTTTTGTTCATGATTTAATCAGCACATCAATTTTTTTTTTTTAATTTTTTTTTTCTAATGTATGCGGATTTTGAATCCAAAACAATTAATTTATAAAATATTTATAAAACAAGATTTTTAAGTTTAAGTGCTCACCTATAAAGAATATACATACATACATACATACATACATATATATATATATATATATATATACATTTGTTGAAAACAAAATGAAAATCTTATGCAGTGGAAAATCACCCCCCCCTCCACAGGCAACTTTGAATTGACTAAAGCAACTAGATTCAACAAGGCTCTAAAATATCATCTACTTCTCCCTCATAAGCTGCCACACTTTATGACACTTGGAAACAATCTTTTTCAAAACAACAACCTCTAGCCATAAGTTATCAAGTCACTCTGCCTGATTTGTCACCTCTGGAGAAGTAGTAACTGTGAAAGGGTAAAATAGTAAGTTCTCAGTCTGCTTTGACTTAGAGGAGGATGAGGAATCACCTTATGATCCCCCATAGCTCCTTCCTCTCCCTCAGTAGTACCTTCACACATCATCAATAGAGGATTTCCATCATGAGGTTGTTGGCCGACGCCCTTGATCATTTGCTTGCTTCTTTTCGTAAGAACATCTAGAGCCTCATTCAGGTTTAGTTGTATACCTAGCATTCTCTACATAACAATCGAGGCCACAAAATTCAATAAGAGTAAACCACTCTCCACACAAAACGGGAAAATAAAAGCAAAACATGACTTGTCATAATATATGAAATAATAAAACAGTAAGTATACATATTGATTTACAATGGGCCGAAAATTTTGAAATTGTAAGGTTGTTTCTCACCAACTCGCTTCCATCTAGTTGAGTGTGCCCATGGGAACTGAATAGTTTGTCTGTGAAGGCCAAACTTTAATTAGATCATCTAATGCGGATTTGCCTCGAGGACTACCACCTCAGACAAAGCTTTTTGCCAGAGTCATCCTAGATGTCTACCCTTGGTAGACCTAACTTTCTCTGCATTACTATCATCTTATGACCTTTTCTTTATGCTTCCTTCTTAGCATGTCTTGTAATTGTTCTTTATTCGAAATGTGCATGTTCGATTGACTAAGATCCATCATGTCGAGCTACAAGAATAGGGGACTATCAAATCTAGAATGTGGTGATAGGATGTTTAATTACCAAATCAGTTCAAGAGGTGTCTCATCGCTCTACTTATAAAAGACAAGGTTCAAAATTTAAGCAAGTGACAACGTCATAAACATTAATTAAATATTATGATCCATTATAATATTTAATTCACTCATTCTTAGCATAGCCGAGCATAGCTTTCTAAGAGATGCGAGAATTAGAGAACTAAATATGTAAAAACAAAAGTACCTACTTGGACTAGCAAGGCACAAATGCCTTTTGGCCTCTTTTACCTTGGAAGAAGGCCCGCTGGGGAATGTGTCTAGAAGTGGACAACGAATTTGACAAATTTAGACTATCAAGCATCTAGGCAAAGATCGATCAAAGTGTCAGAGGCTGAGTGCCTAAGGTTGAATATTAAGGTTTGAGTATAAAGGGTCAAGCATGAAGATATCCAAAAGCAAAGGACCCAACTGTTCATCACCTTGTCTTATTTGACTATAGAAAGGAGATCCAAGAGAAGATCTAGAATTTTATGGTGATACAACAAAAAAGACAGTTACTTATCGATAGAGGCTTAGATATAATAAGGCTCTATATTTATCTTTTCGTAAAATCCCACCTCTATAAAAGGGAGGGTATTAAATGTAAAATTCATTTCAGCTCTTTCAATCCAAAAATGAACCTCTTGTTGTAGAAATTTTGCTCATTTGTCGCTTTTGAGCCCATATATTCTCATTTTCTCCCTTATCTTCTCATTCCCTATGCTCTATTCCTTGGGTGTGATTCAAGGACATTAAGGGATTCAACAAACTTAAAATCTCGTGATGTATATCAAATAGAATGGTTAGGCCTAAAGCAATCTAAGTAATCATTCTTATGACTGAATTGATTGGATTCCAATCTACCCAAATCAATCTCTAACCAAGCTTAACAAATCCTTTTGGGATGTATGTTGCTCGAGATTTATGAATAAAAAAGTCAACTCTTATCTTTGATGAATATTACGAAATTATGAAGAAGTTATGTATTTAAAATGATAACCTCTTAAAAATATGTATATTTTTATAACTATTGGAGACAATGTAGGGATAAAGGAAACCTTATAATGATGACAATATTTAAATGCTTTGAAATGTTACGGTTCTCAATAAATTTTATAGGAAAACAAATCAAATTTTAGATTAATGATGATTGAACAACCACTTTACCAATCGTATGCTATCTTTAACAGTTCAAAAGCTCTTCTTCATTCTAATAATTTCTCTGTAACATATTTATGCTTATATATCTTTGATTGGAATACAACCTATGAGATAAGATTGATTTTTGTAGGTTCTAGAAAATTGAAGGCATTAGAGTAAGGTTTTGAATAAAAATCTTGCTCATGTAGATGAAAGATATTAACATATGATACATTTAATTTTTTATGTGCAAAATCTTGCAAGAGAAAAAAACCAGTGAGTGTAACCTGAAGAAAATAATTTATTATTTAAGAAAATTACAATTTTTTGGCTATTCTTCCATGTTGGAAAATTTGTAATGCAATCAAACTTGATTTCTCATAATTATATTAAAGCAAAAGGTAGTATAAAAATATTAAATTGTGGCTAGACAATATTAGGTGATGACAACCACCAAATCATGATAGATGAGCAGAATGGTCAAACAACAAAAACTAGATGATGGTGAATAGACTTTGACAGCTAAGTGAAAATGTAAGACAACAAGTATTTGGCATAACTGTCGAACAACAACAATAGAGTAGTGGTGATGTGTAGCAATGATTTTTCAAAGCTTTAAGCTCTCTCCCAACTCAAATTCAGGTTGCATTCACTTGTAGGGTGATGATTTATTTATGATTTTTGAGGTTGCATTTCAATAAATCTAGTTAAAAACTCAAAACACTCAACTAAATATCTTTTGCTGATTTTTTTTTATTGGATATCATTCCTTCAACATTTAAATGTTTTAAAGGTATCAAAATTTAGTGATCTCAAGCTTAGTATAGAAGATTGATTTGATATAAATATACAAAATTGAAAGATTTTATGACTCTTCAATTATTGCCCCAAAAAAATTGAATCACAAATATTTATTTGAGCTCATCAGGTCTCAAATAGGTCATTTTAGGATCGTTGGTTTGCCTTGCACATTCGGTTTTACTATTAATTTATTGAAATCCAAGGTCATGTGATTATGAATTTAATTTTGAATAGAACTTCTTATGGTGTATCATCTATTTATTGATCCAAGATAAAATAGTAAGGAAGTTGGCAATATAGAAATAATATATAATATTATCTTAAAGAGAAAGGTTCGCATTAAAAATAATATATATATATATATATAAGAGGTTAAATTAATGTTGTGGCTTTTGTTCGTTTGTCAAATGTATTTGATATTCTAATATAAATGATGTTATGTTAGGACTTAGGATATGCTTGAAATTTATTTGATTTGATTTGATATTAGTGCTCTAGAAACTCTTTATATATAGTGCTAATCTCAATGCAAATTTAATAATTTTCAACCTCATCTTTATACAATTTATATGCAAGAACAATGTCAAAAGTATTTAATTATTATTATTATTTAGTTTAGGTCATGTTAGACTCTATCTCAACCTTTTTATAATAGATTCATCTACATCTTTGTCCTATCTCTCACATTTCTCTACAACTCACTGCTGTTGTTTTCACTTAAATCAATGATTTACAAAGACACCACTCAATTCCTATGTATTTACACAGTTAATACTAATCTTCAATTAATTAGACATAATAAATATAAAAATATTGCGGCACATAAATTTTATATGATTTAGTAAAATTCAATATATTTTCAATTTCACGTGAAGGTCGAAAAATTCTTTAAGCTTTGAAATGGATTAAAAAAGAATTTATATTTTTATAGAATTGAAAATAATTATAAGAATATGATTAAGAGTTAAAATGCTTCTTCTTATCTTGAGCCACAATATATGTTCCAAGACAATAAAGTATTTATGTTAAGAAACAGAGATTAAGAACTGTTCTGAACCTTAAGGAAGCGTTTTATATATAATTTAAGTTAAGCAGAACCATATTTTAAATCAATTCAACTCTCTGACTGCAATGGAAAGGCATCTTTGATCAATATATACATACAGCCACAGAAGCTAAGATTAATTTTCTTTTTTCTTTTTAACATAAACAATCCGTCAAAGTACTAAATTCCAAAGTCGACTGAATATAAATGCATTAAAAATATGAAATAAAGTCAATGCAAATATTTATCACTTCATCTTCTCATCTCAGGGAAAAGCAGGTAAGTCAACACCATGTTCTTCCGCCTGCTTTTAATGTTAGCATATTTCTATTTTTACATACATACCACACAATTCTTATCTATTTTTACATATCTAACACATATCATTATCTCTCTAAATTTTCCTTTAGATT